GCATTCTCGTAGCATTCATAGTACAAGTGCATCCATCATCCAGAATGAGGGAATATGGAGGAGGGGAGGAGTCGTACTTGTGCTATGAGGGGAAAGGAGATTGGAAAAAGGGGTCATAAGTGGAAAATTATGCTATACATATGTTTAAGATAGCCTTTCAAACTAACCAGCTTTGAACAGTATTCTAAAACCATCGTAGGAGACGTCATGGTCAGTCTTGAAAAGTAGCGACATTGTTTCATTTTCATTGCGAATGAGAGATACAAAGGTGCGTTTACCATGAAGCCTGAATAGGGGAAAATAAACAAAGAGGAGTTCTATACACAGTAATGTGTGAAATTTATGTTAAGATAAACCAATGGTGCAGTTATATGATGTTTCTAGATAACCAAATTGAGAACAAGTCTACACTAGAACTAGAGACGATGCAGTCTAACATTAGCGAAACTACTGAACGTGAGTCTGGAGAGCTGAAATCAGGGTCAAAATTATTTTAGAAAATTTATAACGCTACAGATAAGCTATGAAAGAAATATGAGAAGTGCTTTCCTATTTAGCCTACATCTCCTTTATCTTTCCTGTATACACCATTCACTTACACATCTATGTGCTTTCCGGTCGTATTCTCACCATCAAAGAGTGCCAGCACATCATTGTACGGTTCGGTGTAGAAATCAGTGATGTTCAGAACAACGTGGTGCCTGAAAGACAACTTCAGCAAAATATTTTAATACAACGTTAATTCCATAAATTTGGGTCTTCATAAGTTTGGAGACAATCAATATTTGTCTATGGAGAAAAAAGTATGGAGTAAGGGAGTATTCGAAAGCGTTATTTATATAGAATTTCTATCAAGTCTTGACTTTAAATTAAGAGAGAAACAGGAAAAAAATGGTACCTTTAAGAAAATTGTACTGATCTCGATATTTCCAATATTTTGTTGCTTTCAGTCAATACTTAAGTACTTTTTTTTTTCATTGATTGAGTAATTTGAGCCTTATTTTTAAAAACGAATGCATTTACCAAGTCATTCTCTTTGAAAGAGGAAGCAAGCCAAAGCTTAGATTTTGATATATGATTTTCCAAATGCAGCTTACGCTCTTTTCCAATGCATAAAAACTTAGTCAAAAAGTTCTACATTCATTGCTCCAAAACGAAGTTGGGAAGGTGTAATAGAGCGAAGCCATGATTAACGTATACTATACATAGTAAATAACTGAATAATTTCTGGATTTGCGCGTCCAGATGCAGAGCTTACGAGAATTGATCCCCGACATCAAGCAAGTGATAATTTTCATAATTTATCTTGTATCATAGTGAACAGAGCAAGAGTAGCGTGAGGTAGAAAAAAGGGAGAGTCAGTCTGAATTTGAGGTTACAGTATCGGCTAAGTGCAAGATAGTAAAATAATTTGTACCTTAAGGTTTACGTCTTTTTCAACTAGAATCTCACTATACTGCTATCTTCATTTAATTTTTCCATCTCATTACTCAGTTCCCCAATTAGAAGTTA